GTTTACTACCATTCCATAACATGGAAATGTTTATGGATGAGATCCCACTCATAATTAAAGAAATAATAACTTCAGGAAACTTAAACAATCTCAACGTGTGCTCTAAAAAGACCTAGTCAACCTTATCATAGGCCTTTTCCAAATCCAATTTGAGGATTAAATTCCTACGCTTCTTCTTGTTGCATCACAAATGATATATTACCTCTTGTGATACAATAACATTATCCTTCATACCTCACCCTGGAATGAAACTACTTTGAAGTAGACTGATCAAATCATTCAGAAAAAGGTTTTAACCTATTAACAAGAACCTTTGATAAAATCTTATAAACATTACACAAACTGATAAGACAAAAAATTTTAAAACTAAAAGGAGAATCTCCCTTTGGAATTAACACCATTAGAGTTTTTGTCATCTTGGGATCAACTCGACTAGTAGCAAAACTATGGTTACAAAATTCTAAACTGTAATGTCTACCTTAGTCCAAAAGATCTTTAAAATGATTGGTTGGAACCCATTTGGCCCAAGTGCCTTATAAGATTTCATAGACATCAAGTCCTGAAATACCTCCTTCTTCATGGCTAGTACTACCAATCATTGTTACCCAATTGCAAAAAGCATAAAACCATGATCCTCAAGCTTCGAATGCCCCAACCTCTCCTACATGGAAAATAGATCTTTAAAGTACCTCAAGTTCTCCTCTTGGAGCCTTCAATCAGTAGTACACCACTCCCTAGAGGGAATAAATAAACCATGGACCTTGTTTCGTTTACGATGAACCATTGTTTGAATATAGAAAAATGCAGTATTCTTGGTACCCAATCGGATCCAAGCCTCACAAGACTTTTGGTACCATAATGTTTTTTCCTAAAACAAAATGTCTTCATATTCTTTCAACAAAAGGAACCTTGAAGTAGTAATAACTACACCGAATCAATGTTTTCTAGTGCTTGTTAAACTCCCCTCAGTCAGGCTTGTAACTTCTTCTTCCGTCCAAAAATATTACCCAAAACATAGGAGTTAAATTGGACAAACTTATTTCCAATTTTCTGCAAAGCCACACTAATATCCACAACCTCCTTCTACCAGACTTTATTAACTAATGCCGGATACACTCCGAGAGTACACCACTCCGCCTGGAAATAGTAGGGCTTATTCTTCCTATTCCCTACAACATGTTTACACCGAACTAGAATAGAAATATGATATGAGTGACGGTGAATCAAATGCTCAACTGTAGCTTCTGGAAAAGCCATCCTCCAAGCCTGATTACAAACTCCACTATCTAGACGCTTAGACACTAGGACACTTCCCACACATCGACCCTGCCACGTAAACTTCCCACCAAAGAACTCCATATCCATCAATGAATAGTTACTAAGACACCTCGCAAAAGCTTCAAGATGAAGACAAGAAAACACCCCTCCTTTTTGTTCCAAGGGCAATACAATGTCATTAAAATCACCCATCAACATCCATGGCTTGGAGATGCAATCGCGCAAATCCTTAAGATAAATAATTGAGCAAAACCAACTATAATTTCCCCACCTAATACAAATCGAAATACATCACGACATTTTTCCCAGTATAAAAACTGAAAATGGGCTACCAATCCATGCCACAACCCAAATACCACATTTATGGCCAACTAACTATTCCACAACCACCAAAGAATAACCCTCCATATGTCAAAAATTTGAACCAATAAAGGAGTGAACATGTTTTTCCAAAAAAATTATTAGCTCAGGTTTATAAAGAGATATTAGTTCCCTTGTGTGTGCAAAACTCCTCTTATTCGCAAAACCCCTGCACCTTTCATGCAAGAAAAGTATAATCGTCAAAACTTATCATAAATATAAGAGGAATAAAAAGGAATCAACACACATGACCTCCCTTTCTAGATTATGAGTCAACTCTTCCTCCATATTATCCTCCAAAACCATATCATCCTCAATATCTTCCTCATACTCACTCGGGACATTCTTAATCCCTACAACCACCATCACCCCTAACTAGTCCAGAGGATCTGGTGATTCCCTAGACTATAATCGGGTTGGTGTTAGGAACTCCATTTGCATAATTGCCTTACTACCAAAGGTAGTAGTAATGGGTTCATGCTTTGTCATAGTAATTACAATCTTCCCCTTCACCAATTGGTTACCATGCAAAACATGAAAATTACGTATACCAACCAGTAAACTTGTACCCTCAAGTTTGCTTGATTTTCCATGTTTTGTCCCTAATACATACACCTCCATCGACTTCACCTCATCCATGTGTGTTTGGAAGAACCCACTTACTTCTTTTATGTCCTCATATGTTGTAGGTGATAAACCCCTCACATTGCCACTTAACTCCTTTCTAGGTTGACTAAAACTTGACTTCCTCATAACCACCTCTTGATTTGGTTCCTTACCTAATTCATGCAACACATTGAATTTGTTATTATTTTTAAAGTTGTTGTGCTTCCCTCCAAACCACCACATCTTGCAACATCTAAACATCCTTTAAATTTTGCCTAAGCTTTGTGGTTACTTTTTCATCACAATCCAATCACCATATAGCATCTTTCCTCCAAGATTGTCACTTGGAATTTTTGCACCTAGATTCTCAGCATTAGGGTTTGTAGTTGTCACTCTAGGGCTAGGGTTCACTTCCTCCCTCCTAACAAATGCATCCTTCGAGCCTGCAACCGCCATCGGCAAACTAGCTTCATCATGACCTGAAATTTCCAATGGTCGCGTAGGACACTTCTCTACAGTATGACCATAAAGGCCACAACATTTACACACCAAGTGTAACCCTTCATACTCAACATGGAACCAATGCTCATGAACCCAAATACGACCCACCACTGGCTATTTCAAATCTATCTCAACATAGACTCTTGCAAACCTACCCCATGATGCATCCATCGTCCCTATATCCACCTTGATGGGTCGTCCAACCGTCGTCGCAAGAGCCAAGAAGATATTTTCATCATAATATTCCATGCCTAAACATGGAAATCAGATCCACACCAAAGTAGTCTCAACCTTAACCTCCAAGGTGACAAAGTTTGGTACCCATAGGATGGACAACAAGATAATGGTTAAACAACATCGAAGGCCCACCAGTAAGAACCTTTTCCCGATTCTGTGGTAAATCAAACTTAACCATATAGAATCCGAAACTAATATCCACCATCTCAAACCTGTTGGCTAGCTTTTAAGCCATTCGCAACTAATCCCTCATCACAAAGAAGCTTAAAAACTTCCTCAATAGCTTGACAATCACAACATCCTTTCAAGGTTGATGTTACTCTTGTAACACCTTATCATCATTGAAACACTTAGGTCACAAACGATCACCCCCTCCAGTTCAATGCAGAAAAGTTTTTTGGCTATCAAATTTGTTTTCTCCATATGATGTCCACCCTTTATCCCCATCATCTTATCTAAAAACGAAATTGGTAAGGTAGCATGCCTTCCTCCCCCATCATCAAGAGGTTTAGGTGACGGTTGTAACCCTAAGGGCCAACAAACATTGTCCCCCACTGTCAACACCATGTCTTCCATGTTCTTCACGTTTTCTACACCTCTCGTGTGCTCTCCCACAAATAACCTTTTTTTTTTATTTAAATAAAATAAACTACAACCAATTTTTTATTTTAAATTTTGTTTTTTTTTGTCTTCAATTTCTCTTTATGAAAGTTCTCTACCATGTTAAACTTAATTCAAGAGTATGTTTGGGTGGTAATAACAATGCTAGTGTGTAGGTGGTAATGATAGTGCTAGTGATAATGGTATTGGTGGAATTGTCAATAACGGTACTTATGGTAACGATGATGGTGATATTCATGATGTAGGTGGTAGTGTGATAGTGATGATGGAGGTGTCAATAATGGGACAACACTGATAAAAATAATAGTGATATTGTTAGTGACAATGGTTATTGTAGTAGTACAAATGATAGTGATAATTACGACAAAAATAACCATTGTCAAATGTATTTTTTTTAAAACTAAAACCTAAATTCACAAATCTATTTTTTTGAAAATAAATGTAAAAATATTTTAAAAGTGAGTTATAAACCATTTTAGTAGAACTAATTTTGTTTTTAAAATTATATTTAAAATAAAAATTACAAGTTCATAATTATCCTAATTAGGTCCTATAATCTTTTAATATAATTCACCTCTTTTTATCAAATAGAACTAGTTGTTTTATACAATACCAATTTTAGAGATTTCCTCGTTAAGTAAAACATTTTTAGGCATTTTCATTTTCAATGAGAGATTTTTTTTTTAACTTCTTATCTATTTCAATTTGTATTTAACACACACAAACACACACATATATAAATTAAATTTAATAATTTTAAAATAAATTATTAATAATTAAAATTAATCTTATATTATAGTATAAATTATTTTTATAAATATAAAATATAATTTATATGTTGAAAAATATTTATTTTAATAAATTATTATAATTTATCATATTTTTATAATTTTAATATTGTACATACCAAATATTTACTGTATATAAAAATAATGATAAATTATATATTTTTATAAGTATAAATATGATAACTTTATAAGTATAATTTATCATATTTTTTTATATACAATAAATATTTGGTATATATGTACAAGTTGAAATACCAATTCATAATTAATTTTAAACCTAGAATCAAATCCTCAATGTACAAGAAGAAAACCTAAAATTAAATTAACTAACATTTTAAAAGTAATTAATATAAAAAATTTAATGTAAAATCAAACACTTATGATATACATAGAGTAAATTAAATTAAAAGTTAATCATCTATATATTACGAGTGTAAAATTTTTATACTCGTAATTAATCAGAGTTATTAATAATATTTTTTTATTTTAATTTAATTAAATGAGCAGATGAGAAGGTATTATTAATGATTTTGATTGACTGCAGTGTAAAAAAATTTTAAACTGGAAGCGTACAGGATTAACTCTTAAATTAAATGCGTGGAAAGCGCAGTAGGCTCGTGCACTGCGTTGGAGACCAGTCCAGTCCTCACTAGCCATGGCCTCAGTGGAGCAGCCTCCGAAGAAGCGAAAGCTGTACGAGCCTTTACCCGAATCGCCACCGTCTGTGCCTCCGCCGCCGCCAGCACCGGCGGAGGCGTCCGACGCCACCCCTCCCTCCCCGCAAGCCCTACCCTCGCCGTCAACTCCCCCGCTGTCTCAGGAGGAGATTCTCGCGAAGCGGCGGAACAAGGATGAAATTCGAAGCGTGTACGAAGGCTACAAGCGGATTAAGCTTTGCTTGCTTCAGAAAGACGCTCCCAACATGTCAGACCTTGAACAGAGTTATCTCGCTCTCATCACTTCTTCTAGAGGTAATCGCCTTTTCTCACTCTCGCTATTCTCTTTTCAATAGTTTGATTGCAATCGGAATGCGATTGTGCTGGAGAGGAACGTTTCTGTAGAAAACCATTGAGGAATCTTTCTATTAAAACCCTGTGCATAAAGGTCACCACCCTGTATGGTGTTATTTATGTTTGCGTAATGTTTGGAGTGTTGGGAATGAAAGAAATGATTTCATTTTTGTTTGGGAATTGCTCGAGACTTCAATTCATTCTGAAATTGTTTTATACATGATGACATTTCAATCTTATTCTTGCTAGTGTTGCTTATTAGGGTTTGTAAATCATATTTTTTCGAATGTTCTTTTGAAACAAGAAATGTTCCTGACATATGATATGGACATGTGGTGAAGAATGCCAATCTCTGATGTGGTTTTGCTTAAAAAAGTACTTGAAACCAAAAACTGAAAAATATTGAATATTTTGTACCGAGTTGATTGATTGAGAAATGCTGAGGTACAAATTTATAGATACAAGATACAGAAGAACAAAAAGGAAGAATAATTTTCTATGATACAACAACGTTTCCTATGATACTGTACTCTCCCAAATGAGGAAATATACAAAAGAAAAAAAAGAAAGAAATCCCTAAATTTAAGAGATATAGTAATAATTTTCTATGGTTCAACAACTTTTCCTATGATCCTTTAATTTTTTAAATGAGGAAACTGCAAAATAGAAAAAGAATCAACAATATCAATCACATGATTGACAATAATTGCATTCTCTATTACATAGTGTTTGGTTGGAGGAAAATAGAGGTGAGGGACAGGAGCAAAGGGGAATTTTTTTTTTTTTTTAAACCTTTCATGTTTGGTTAATTTCTATGAAAAGAGGACAGGAGAGCAAAATCCCTTTTCATCCTATTTTGGCCCCCCTCCAATATTCTGAGGATTTGGAGGAGGAGAGAAGGATAAGGTTATTTTGATGTTAAACCTCTCCCCTCGTGAACTAAACAAACATAAATTATTTTTCCCTCTCCTTCTATAACCAAACAAAATATGTGATTGAAGTCCCTCCCTTCCATGAAAATTGCTCATCTCCCCTTTCCTCCATTGAACCAGAGTCTTAAGGTTGTGTACATAGATAAGGATAACAATGGATAGAGTCTAGGTAGGGTATTATAGTATCCATGCACATATCCACATTAAAACAAAAAATACCTGGACTTGTATTCATACCCGCCCAAGTAATAACTTTAATACCTGTACCCTTACCCATTGAATATTTAAGTACCCATTGAGTACTTAAGTTCCCATACCCTTACTTATTGGCTGCACTTCAGTTAACTATGAAAAATTATTGAAAAAAAATTACATACATAATTTAATTAAAATACTATTCAAGATTTTTTTTTATTAAACATCATAAACATAATTACAAAACATTACAATGAACTCCACAATAAAAATTTTATAAACTTGTAAGTTTGATGTGGTGGTGCATTTCCAATATGGCAGATTGTGAGCTCATTATATTAGTTCAGTCACAACTTAATAACATGTAGTCACAAAGATCTAGGGCTTGAGTGATAGAAATGAAAAAAAGGATAAATGTTTATTAAGTTTTCATAATTTTTTTAAATTTATCATTATATTATATGTATATATGTATATATATATATAATTATATATATATATAATTATATATATATATATATTATATTTATGCATGTGTAATGCATGTATATATTTATTTATGCACACACATATATAATAGTGAACATGGGATGTGGTGGTAATAAGGTATCCATCATTTCAAAATAGTTTTGTACACGATGATATCTCACAATTTAGAAATCTTATTCTTGCTATGAGGGGAAACTAAGGACTTTCTCATAGGTATAGAATTACATCAAGGCTAAGCTTTAAGTCCTTACTTGTTCAATCCAGTCTTGGACATACCTACTAGGGACATACAGTAGATTATCCCTAATTGCATGCTTATTGCGGATGATATAATTTTTATTGAAGAATCAAAGGAAGCAATTAACTTTAAACTTGAAATTTGGAGACAGACTAAAGAAACAAAAGGTTTTCGCCGAAGTAGGGGTAAGATAGAGTATATTTATTGCAATTTTAGCAAGAGAAGTAGAAATATGTTAGGGTCTTTTAGCAGTTATTTTAGAAAGAAGGGGAGTGATCCTCCAATTGACTAGGCCCATTAAGTGTGGGTTTATGTTAGTAAATTAGTAGCTGTATATAAATAGGAAGAAGGATTATATTGGGAAAAATTCAAGTCCTACATCAACTAGAGTTAAGGCAAATTAAAAATTATATAATTGAAGAGCAATCCTCTACTTACAAGTTAATTTTGTAGGGTTGAGTTAGGCTCCAATTCACTTTCTTAAGATGGTACCAAAGCGATCTAGATCCACTCTAAAAAGGCCAACCACCATTTATCCACATACCTAGTCCAATAGTGCTGGACGTAAGGGGATGTATTGGGAAAAACCTAAATCCTGCCTATCCTAGATCATTAAAAAAGGTTATCTATTATTTATTCACGTACCAAATCCAATAGTGCTGGACATGAGGGGATGTATTGTGGAAAATCCGAGTCCTACATAGATTAGAGATACGACAATTAAAGAATATATAAGTGGGGAACAATCCTCACTTGACAAGCCGGTTTTGTAGGGATGAGTTAGGCTCCAATCCACTTTCTTAGGAGGTTGAGAAGAAAGTTAACTTTTAAGATCGGTTGTTTTATAACCGATCTTAAAAGGCTGGTATCTAAAAAAAATTAAACTGGAACAGGCCGTTCCAAAACTGGAACGGGCCATTCCAGGTTGTTAAAATGTCACATACTCCTCAAGCAATTCACCATGAATCCTCATCTACATCATCAATTTTTACCATATAATATAACAATAACATTTATAAATTAATATAACACTCAATCGAATCAGCTTCCAGAGCATCATTTTTACAAATTAATCATATATTCATAATCCTAAACACATACAGAATCTCATAATACCAATAATTTTCAAAACAGAAATAATTATAAAATTATTAAAAATTCCATAGGAACTCTTCTCCACCCATTCCCTCATCTAACTCTACACATAAATCTCCCCTTTTCTCCCGTACCTCGATAAGCAGTAGCTGAAACTAGAGCAAGATCTGGTTGGTCTCCTCCTCTAGGTTCCCCTCGGTCTTCAGAGAATGTAGAAGGAAAAGAAGTCAGAACTGAAAGATGTCAAAACTGAAAGGTGTGCTTTTTGGGAGTGCTAGAGCGCTCTATTTATAGGCATCAGGAGAGGTCAAAATGGCCTGTTTCAAATCCAGAACAGCCCGTTCTGGACTCTTCGTCATGTGTAAAATTTCACATCCTGAACGACCCGTTCTAAAACCAGAACAGCCGGTTCTGAGGTTACATTTTAACCCATAACGGCCATGTTTGGAATAGCCCGTTCCCAATTAGGGTTATAGGCCATTTTGGTGGTTTGGAATGGTCCGTTCCTATTTGGGAACGACCAGTTCTGGGATACCAAAAATAATTCTTTTTAGTAGTTTGGAACAGCCCGTTCTAGTTTGCGAATGACCCATTCTGGGCTACTAAATCACCCATATTGGGCTTTTGGGCCTTCGTACAATCTGTGAAAATCGGCCTGTTACATTTTGGAGATTTGTAATATCCACTAGTGGAAAAAAGGCTTTTAAAATTGGTTATTTTTAACTTTTAAAATCAGTTCCGTAACCGATTTTAAAAGTTTGACTTTTAAAATCGGTTAAATAATCGATTTTAAAAGTTAACTTTTAAGATCGGTTGTTTTATAACCGATCTTAAAAGGCTGGTATCTAAAAAAAATTAAACTGGAACAGGCCGTTCCAAAACTGGAACGGGCCATTCCAGGTTGTTAAAATGGGCTAAAAAGAAAGTGTGGAACGGGACATCAGAATGGCCCGTACTCCTTGCAATATGGGTTGTTCTCCTTGCAGAACGGCCTGCAAGGAGAACGACCCGTTCTGTAAGGAGAACGGACTGTTCTTCATGGAGAACGGGCCGTTCCAGATTCGAAAATTTCCTAAAATGAACCTACAACGAAAATAGAGACAAGAGAAGATGAGAAAACGAAAAGAGACATAAGAAGAGCGTGAGAAGACGAAAACGAAAACGAAAACGACAACAAAATTTACCTTATTGGAGACTTCAGAAAATGAGAGTGCGAGAGAGTAAAGAAAGGAATGGAGGGAAAGATTAAAGAGAATGAGAATGGAGGGAAATATTAAAGGTTTCTGACGATACTTTTAAAATCGGTTATTTAAGAACCGATTTTGTATACATACAAAATCGGTTCTGAAATAACCGATTTTAAAAGTAGCACTTTTAAAATCGGTTCTTAAATAACCGATTTTAAAAGTAGAACTTTTAAAATCGGTCATAAAATAACCGATCTTAAAAGTGTTCATATTAGCCCATTTTAACAACCTGGAATGGCCCGTTCCAGTTTTGGAACGGCCTGTTCCAGTTTAATTTTTTTTAGATACCAGCCTTTTAAGATCGGTTATAAAACAACCGATCTTAAAAGTTAACTTTTAAAATCGATTATTTAACCGATTTTAAAAGTCAAACTTTTAAAATCGGTTACGGAACTGATTTTAAAAGTTAAAAATAACCAATTTTAAAAGCCTTTTTTCCACTAGTGGATATTACAAATCTCCAAAATGTAACAGGCCGATTTTCACAGATTGTACGAAGGCCCAAAAGCCCAATATGGGTGATTTAGTAGCCCAGAATGGGTCATTCGCAAACTAGAACGGGCTGTTCCAAACTACTAAAAAGAATTATTTTTGGTATCCCAGAACTGGTCGTTCCCAAATAGGAACGGACCATTCCAAACCACCAAAATGGCCTATAACCCTAATTGGGAACGGGCTATTCCAAACATGGCAAAAGAGACATAAGAAGAGCGTGAGAAGACGAAAACGAAAACGAAAACGACAACAAAATTTACCTTATTGGAGACTTCAGAAAATGAGAGTGCGAGAGAGTAAAGAAAGGAATGGAGGGAAAGATTAAACCTGATCTGAAGGAATTGGATTGGCCTCTTGGACGAGTGTCAATTCAGGAATGACCTTTGATCTTCTTGTGTAAACCAGATTCTTCCCAAACCTTTTATCATTTTCAAATTCAACTGGTGCATTTTTTTCTTGAGGTTCTGGTGCTTTTTCAGGTTCATGTTCAATTGGATTTGGTGCATTTTCAGGCTCCGGTTCTTGGGCTAGATCATAAGAATTTAACTCAAGAGTTGGAAGGGGTGAAGCTTCAAACTGAATCTCCTTATCTTCCCAAAGACTCTCCCCCTGAAGATAAGGTTGTGAAAAATAATTTTGTTCCTCATGAAAGGTGACATCCCGAGATATAAAGAATTTTTTTGAAGGAGGATAATAACACTTATACCCTTTTTGAGTATAGGAGTATCCAACAAAGACACATTTTAGGGCCCGAGGATCAAGTTTGCCTCGATCTGGACCATGAACATGGACAAATGTGACACACCCAAAGACCTTTGGTACAAGATTGCTAGAGGTGGACATGTTAGGATAGAAACAAGAAAGTACATCCATAGGGCTCCTAAATCCCAAGATTCTAGAGGGAAGACGATTGATAAGATATGTTGCTGTGAGAACAGCCTCCCCCCAAAAAGTTTTTGGAACATTTTTTTGAAACAATAATGCTCTTGTTTGATCTAAGAGGTGTCTATTTTTGCGTTCAACAATTCCATTTTGCTGAGGTGTTTGGACACATGAAGACTCATGAATTATTCCCTCTTTTTGACAAAACGGAGTAATAATTTGATTGAAATACTCTTTGCCATTGTCCGACCTAAGTTTCTTTATGGACACACCAAATTGATTTTTAATCATTGAGAAGAAATTTTGAAAGACATTGCTTACTTCAGATTTGTGTTTAAGTAGGAAAACCCAAGTAACTCGAGTGCAATCATCAATAAACGTCACAAACCAACGAGCCCCTGACACATTTGGTATATAGGAGACGGTCCCCAAACATCAGAATGAACAAGGTAAAAAGGAAATGTGCTTTTGTTTGTACTTGATGGATAAGGAACACGCTTGTGTTTTGCAATTTCACACACATCACATTGAAGACAATCAATTTTTATTCCAGAAAACAAAGACGGAAACATAACTTTGATGGTTTCAAATGATGGATGTCCAAGCCGATAATGAAAGAGTAAATTTTTTTCTTTTTTTGACAATAAATATTTTAACATGAGAGAATGAGACTAGTTTTTTTCTGAAATGGACAAACTTGGCTCCTCAAGAAGATAAAGGCCATTCCTTTCTCTAGCACGTCCAATCGTCCTCCCCGATTCCTTGTCCTGGAATACACAAAAATTATTATTAAACACAACATTACAAGAAATGTCATTTGTAAGTTTTTTCACTGAGATAAGATTTGTGAACAATTTGGGAACATGAAGAACATTTTTTAGGGTTATGAAGGGATTTATATGGATGTTTCCTATACCAGCTACAGTTATAAGAGTCCCATCTGCAGTTGCTATTTTCTTATTGCTGGGACATGGAAAATAGGTAGAGAAGAATTTAGATGATGGAGTCATATGATCTGTGGCTCCAGAATCAAGAACCCAAAGAGATGGAATAATTTTTGAGACATTAAATCCGAATGAAATAGGAAGCATACATGAATACGCCAAAGAACAAGTACCTGATGGTTTTTCAAGGCTGCTGAAAAAAGCTCTCATCCTTTCTATTTCTTCTTGACTCAAGCTAGCAGGTTCCAGTATGCTAGAAGAATTTGTTTTTTCTTCATTTTTTTCAGCCACATAGACCTGCCCACCTTTTCGAGATGTTCCTCCTTTTAGTTCTAGATTAGGAGGTTTACCATGTAGTTTCCAACACTTCTCTTGGGTATGTCTTGGCCTATTACAATAAGTGCACCATAAATCTGATTTCTTTGACTGCCCATTTTTTTCTTTTTTAGCCACCATGGCTGAGCTTTCTACAATTGGAGATTCTAGCATCAAATTCCTCCTACTTTCCTCACTTCGTACAATTGCAACCACCTCATTAAAACTTGGGAGTTCAGATTTTCCAAGGATTTGGATCCTAACTTGATCAAACTCAGGGTTTAACCCTACAAGAAAATCATACACCCTGTCTTGCTCAATAAATTCCTTCAATACAGCAGCATCATCTGCACACTTAGTCTTGATAGCTCTATAATGATCTAATTCCATCCAAAGGGACTTCAGTTGGTTAGCATATTCAGTAACAGATTTATTTCCCTGTTTTGCAGCTAGAGTTTTCACCTTTACATCATATACCTGGGCAGCATCTTTAGCCTTGGAATAAGTTTGCTCTATTGCATCCCAAATTTCTTTTGCTGTGCTGAGAAACATAATGGTATCACTAATTTCTGTATTCATAGAATTCCATAGCCAAGCAATGATCAATGCATCTTCCTCATCCCATGCTTTAAAATTTGGGTCTCCTTCCTTTGGACCAGCACCGGTCAGGTGGCTGATTTTCCCTTTTCCTTTCAATATTGTGCGAATAAGTTGTGACCACTTTAAATAATTTTTTCCATTCAACCTATAGGAAGAATGAATGCTCTGCAAATCTCCAAATTGATTATTTGGGGGTGGATGAACAACTTCCCCTTCCATGACAGAAATCTGGTGGTCATCAGAAAAATAGCAGAAAAAATGTCAGAAAAACAGAAAGGTTGCCGGAAAGTCGTCGGAACGCTTGACAGCTTCAAGAGCCCAGCCAAGCTTGCTTAAAAAATATGCGTTGCGGAAGCAGAGCTCCTTAGATTAGGAGCTCTATGGATGTACGCTCTGATACCATGTTAGAATAGTGGATTTAAGCCTAACTGAGCCCTACAAAACCGACTTGTAAGGTGAGGGTTGCTTTCCACTTATATATTATTCAATTGCCTAATCTCTAGTCGATGTGGGACTTGGGTTTTTCCCAATACACCCCCTCACGTCCAGTACTATTGGGCTTGGTACGTGGATAAATGGTGGGTGGCCCTTTTTAATGATCTAGGACTGGTGGGACTTGGGTTTTTCCCAATACACCCTCTCATGCCTATGAGGCATGCATCAATGGTGGGTGACCCATTTTTAAAGTGGATCTAAATGGCTCTGATACCATGTTAAAAGAGAGAAATAGGGAACACATTTTCTGATTATGCTTGAGTGTATTTTTTCACTCAGCACAATGGTCTTATTTATAATGATAGTGGTTACAAAGATAATAAATGACATCAACTATTTCCAAGACAACAATTAAAAATACCACAACTTCCTAAGATACATTGAACAAAGAAACTAGGAAGAGTAATAATCACTAAATACTCCTATTTCCAACAAGAAGGATTTCATCTTGTCTTGTGAGGTGCAAACCGTAGAAGTTCTGCAAGTCAAGCACTGTACTAAGCGAGAAATCTCTTATTCTTTCTAATAATATACCGGGTTTATATCAAAATGTAATACCACAGGTTTCTACTTTAAATATCTGGGATTAATGATGCAAAATGAGGGAGAAATTAATAAGGATGTCACACACTAGATACAAGTGGAATGGCTAAAATGGGGAAAAACAACAGGGGCTATTTGTTGTAACAAAGTATCTGCCAAACTCAAAGGCAAGTTTTACTTTTATCGTACTGCTGACGTGTGGCTATACTATATGGTAGTAAATACTGGGCTCTTAAGGGACATGAGGGAAATGTGGGAGTAACAAAATGAGAATATTAAGATGAGTGTTGGTGATGAGAACAGCAGTGGAAAAAATGTAGGGAGCTATTCTTGTTAGAGAGAAAACTGAGATATGCGATTAACTGGAGATAGAAGATGAAATATGGTTCTCATTAATCTCTGATTTACAGATCAGTATTTATACAGGTATGTATCTTGAGGCACAAGTTAAACATTCAGAAGAATAAGTTTGGCTAACATCTAGCAGTTCTAGCCGAACTACGGCTGCTGCTAGCTCAGCTGGCTGACTGGCTTCAAGTGTCCTGACACCACTTAATCTAGAATTTCCTAACAACTGTGGCTGGGATTTAGCATACTCTTCAGCCCACTACCAGTTTTGCTCAACATCATCCAGATATATCCCTTTCCATTTTATAATCCCTCTGCAAATTCTTGTTTTACTGCATCACAGGATTTTCATGCCAAGTTACTGGCCTTGCCCAAATTAAAAATAAAGATATTATAGTAGTAACTTTGCTTCCGTTTGGACTTCTGAAGTGCAAATGTATTGGCAATAATAATCATGTTTCCATATGTCAAGTATGAATGCCTTTGATCACTTATTAGTAAAACTAGACCCCAAGAAGCCTTGCTTCATCCATGTTTGTGCTCTTCTTTGAGATTTCCATTTTTGACAAATAAAAAAAAAATTGTTACTGCAACTTTTCTGCTTTGGTCAATGTCATACTTGGAACCATTAAATGGAGAAAAAATGCTTAATGCCCCACTGCTGCTTTATTAACCTCATTTAGCTACTTTGATGTCTGCAGTAATGTGTTTCTTTTACACTTGTAAAGATCTAGTATTTTAGTGTCTGCCTCAATAAGTCCAAGCTAGTTGCAGAAAGCACAAGAGATTTAGGTTTCAATATCACCTAAAATAGCCATGTCTCTACCTCATGATGTGATTTTATCACTTTATCAAGTGCTTAATTTGAAAGTGAGCTATCCTCTATTTCTGATATTGAAGGAATTGATAGAAAAATATTACCTTGATTGGAATTCTGTTTTGCCCTAAGTGAAACTTATATAATGTGACAGGTTGTATTAGTGTACAGAGAATTGTGGCCGATCTTATCCCTCGATACGCATGTCACTGTCCAACAGCTTTGGAAGCTGCAGCTAAAGTTGTTATTAATATGCACAACTCGAGTTTGGCGTTAATCAGTAAAGGAGAGGATTCCAATGGTATTGCATTTGAAACTGCTAGAGCCTGTATTTGTGGCCTAGCTGATATTTGCTGCATTGCTTCATCTGTTGTGCCAACATCAGCTGTAATTAGAGGAATTTGCTCAGCAGTTTTTCAGAATATGCTCACTTTTTTTATAAACTTATTTGAAGGAAAGGATGTCTTTCAGATGCTAGACAAGAATTTCCTGAATATGCAAGATACCCCTGAGGTTTTTTCTGAGTTGAAACAAAATGTTTTAGATGAAGATGAGTCTTCATTGACTAAACTGTCCAAGTTGCGTGCATTATGTCTACTTTGGATATTCTTCTCTTGTCCAAAAGATTTGCTTGCAGCTTGTTTGGAGCTCTTAGGCTCTGGCACAAAAGAGAGAGCTAATGAAGGACAGCGTTTTCTGAGCCTTGTAACTAGCACATTTGATGATGATGAAGCAGTTCACCTTTTGGATAGAGCAATTGGTGGACCTAAATCATGTACAGATTCTACTGGGTCAGGCATCAGAGACAAGGAGGCTGGTGATGAAATTATGAATGAAGACAACCATGTCTCTGGTGGTGATTTATCTGTTGGCAAGAGCTGCTTGCTTATACGGGTAAAATACTTCATAATTGTTAACTTGTGTGAATATCATCTATAAGCAGTATATATTTTATATTTTTCTCCTGTAGTATATCTGTTCTAACAAATTGCATGCATAGTCTGCATCTATTTTGAACTTTATTATTACTCTATTGTGAAAATTATTTTTCTAGGCAGGATGTAGTTTTTTTCTTGTACTGTCTTGTAAGAGTTGCATCTATACTGTTATCTATATGGATAAAATGGTTAATAGAGTAGACTAGTCTTAAAGTAGTTGTGCATGTATTATTGAAGTGCAATTGACTTGAGGGCTTGTTTTCTGTAGATGACTGATCCAAGTTTAAAGCTTGAGCTTGTTTGGAATGATTATACATGTCTAATGTTATTCTTAAATGAACAAATCTTCAAGTAAAAGAAGTTATTATTTATAGGCAATTTGTCTGTTGTATATAAGCAAAATAAGGTAACTAGAGAGCTCTACATTTTAGTTTGTTGATAAGAATTAATTAGAGATACTTTCATCGTTGACCTTCTGCTTATCTCAAAGATACTGAAACCAAGTAGGAGATAAGGATTTTGTGAGGATATCTGCACATTGTTCATCCTAAGGAATCTGTAAGACTGAGACTATTGATGACTTTCTCTTTGAGAAAGAAAATGTCAAGTTCCATGTGCTTGTTCTTGCATGGAGAATAGGATTGTGAGACAGAACCACTGTGCTTAAGTTATCACAATATATAGTAGGGGAAATAGTTTCATATGTATTTATGTAAAATAGACTATCCATAAAGTTTCAGTAGCTGTGGCTGCTAAACTTTTGTACTCTGCTTCTGCGGTTGAATGAGCTACAATCTCTTTTTTTTCTTGGACCACCAAGATATCAGGTTTGGTCCTAGAAAGCTACACGAGCTAGAAGTAGACCTCCTATCATCAGGATCCAAGGCCCAAGTAGCATCAGAGAAGGTATTAAGTTGAAGGTGATTCAGAGATTGTTGCTAGTTTTGGAAGAAGGCCAAGATTGGCTCACCCTTGAGATACCTTAGAATTCTTTTGACAGCAACCCAATGAGATTCTAACCATAGAAGACGAGATGCTCTTTGCTTTAGCCATTTTAGCTTTCTAAAGTAGGTCTTGAATGTACTTTTTTTGAGTAAGTAACAAAGCACCATTTTCGGACTTCATTGCCCAAGAAATATTCAAGATCACCAAGTTGTTTTAGGGCAAACACATCATTGAGTTGTAGAGTAAGTTATTGAAATAGCTGTTAAGAATTTCCTGTCAGGATTATATAAACTATATACTCAAGAAGGTAGATAATGTGAGAGCAATCATTGCCCAAGAAATATTCAAGATCACCAAGTTGTTTTAGGGCAAACACATCATTGAGTTGTAGAGTAAGTTATTGAAATAGCTGTTAAGAATTTCCTGTCAGGATTATATAATCTATATACACAAGAAGGTAGATAATGTGAGAGCAATGATTGTAAACAAATAGTGACGGGTCACATTTGGGGGGTCTGTTTGAGGCCATAAAGAGTTTTGTGCAGCTGCACACCAGAGCTCTATTGGCAGCTACAAACCCTGAATGTTGCTGTCATATTTTCATTCTAGTCCATGCATAGATATATTTTTTAACAAATTTGTCCCTATTGTTTAATAAAGTCATAATGGTGCTAGAGTCCCTCCATACCCCCTCCTCCCTTCATGTAGGAACCAAAATGAAGTGTAATAGGGTGCAAAACAAAAGATGTCAATTATAGGGACCAAAACTGATACTGCTATAAAGTTGGCAAACAACTAAGTTTTATCATATAGGGACTAAAATGAACAATATTGCTTGGTGTAGGATGATTATGTTTTCTTTTGGCTCTCTCTCTTCCATCTCTCATACTCTCTCTCGCCTATTTCTCTTTTCTCTTCATCTCTCCCTCTTTCTAGTAGTCTCTCTTCTCTCTTCTCTCCTTTTTTTTTTTTTTTCCTCATACCTCCCTTACCTCTCTTTCAAAATCGACATAAAAAATATCAATAATTTTTTTAATTATTTAATATTCAAAAATATTTTTAAATTATTAAACATTATTTGATTTTCATTTTAAAGCTGTTAAACATTTGAAATTTTGCTAATATTTGAATTTATAAAATTTAATCATATATATATATATATATATATAAAAAATCAATTTTACTTGTGGAAATCAAATTACCATATCCAAACTAAGAATTTAAAATTTAAGAAATTTGAATTGACTTATCCAAACAAAACATTTAAAGAATGATGGAAATTGAAATCAAAGTAATTCAATTTCCTTGAATTTTAAATTTCTTCATCCAAACACTATTATTTATATGGGGGGGGGGGGTTGGAATTTCACTCATCTCCCCTAAGGTCTTAAATGATAATCACACTTGCTCTAGATTTTAAAAAACACTCACGTCCCTAATGTATTTAATAAAGTCACACATTATATTATTTAATAAAATGACATACACACCCCTTCTTTGATGCTATCTAGGGAAGGTGAGTTTTTTTAAAAACTCCTAAGGAGTGTGTGTCACTTAAGAAGACCTCATGGTAGGTAAGGGCAATTTCCCCTTATTTTTATTGTGGTTTTGTTGGTTCTCTCTCTCCCCCCTTCCTTGTTTCATTTATTTACTATAATGACATCCATATGAAGAAGTGAACCTTATATACAAGGTAGTCAAAATCAAGATTCTAGTTAGAATTAGGAAAAAGTCATAAAATCGTAAATCATGGAAGCGTAACACGAAGTGCAAGTTTCTTCAAGATTTATAAAATCCAAATACATGCATCTCACATAGTATAAATAAGAGGAAAGAAAACCATTATAACACATGAAATACATTATTAAGCTTAAATTCATAATTATAGATTCATAAGCATATTAAAGTCAATAACTTAATCCATACAAATCAGAAATGACTAACAAAACATCTTAAAATACTGCACTGCCATAGCAAAACAACTTAAAACACCTAGTTTGGAACGCTAAATCTAAGACTCAATCAGTTCATCCAAATTAAAATCATAATGACTCAAGAGATTCTTATTGCTTCCATCTTCTGTATCCCCTTGTCCTTCATTAACCATATTAGCAAGATGAGCCACAAAAAGAATCGATGACGGCACCAGCTGAGGTTGGACTGTGGGAAAGAGAAACAAAGAAAGGGAAACTGTAGTGGGTACAGTGGGAGCAAAACAGTTTTGCAGAGGCAGAGGAAGGAAAAACAGAGAAAGAGTGGGACTGTGGCAGACTAGTATATTACCTCTGACACTCCGAGGCTCCGATGTAGTGGAAAAGAGTTTCACTTAACAATTTGTGCAGAGAGGATCACCGACGTGGTGGAGAGGATCTCCAGATGCAGGGGAAGACAAAGGAGAGCTCTGGTGATCAAACAGCAGTTTGGTTGCAAAAGCTAGGTTGAAGAAGGCTGGGATGAATGGTGGAAGAAGAATGTTGGGGCAATTTTGGGGGAGGCTGGATGGTGTTGAGTTTAGCCATTTAGGTCTAGGAACTGATGGACTTAGGTTTGTAGAAGGCCAATACAATAAAAAAAAAAAACTGAAACCTGGCCTAAAATGTGAAAAATGAATAAAAATCCTCGAAAAAAAACTGACACTGCAAACTCAAAAAAATGCTTATACCGCTTCTACAATCTTGCACTGTGATTTTACAATTTTTGCTTTCATGAGATTCTGTTCATGTATGAACTCATCCAAGCATGCAGAAGCATAAAATTGTAATTCTACGAGTTGAATTGCAGTTCTGACTACCATGCATATATCATTAAAAACTTCCTGATTTGTATCAAATTCTTGGCAGTTTGGTTGAAATTTAAGGTGTTGTAGCAGTGTACAGCTTGTCAGTATTGCTCTTTAATTCCTTTGTTTCATCAAAGGAAAATGTCTTTATACATTGCATTTGATTGTAAAGATATGATGTGATGCAATTTTCTTATTTGTATTTTACTTTGTGAAGGCATGATTGAACTTTTTGCTTGTAGGTTTTATATTTTGTTAGAAATTAATAGCATATTGATTGCTGTTGACACTGAAGAATGTTTGTTAAAAATATGGTTCTTTTTGCTTAGTTTTAAGAGTTTATATTTTAATAGCTTCTTAGTTCTTACTAAGAAACTTTTTCATGGCCATTCTCTATACAGGTTCTTCACAAGGACCCCCCACTGCGGAAATGGATGTTGTGTAGATGCAAGAAATTACTTGACTTGCACTCCAATGCATCACCAGACATTACGTCATTACTACAAGGAATTCTTGGAATGTTTGCTCAACAAGCTGATTTAGAAGACTGTCAAGCAGATAGTGATGAAGATAAAGCTGATTCTTCGATTTACATGAATAGGAACTACATGGTTCCTAGGATCTGTGTGGAACATGAAAGCGTTGGTGAATCATCTGGAAAAGGCAACAGTTTGAGAGTTCATGTTGGTTCTTCTAATGGTGGTTTTACTGACAAGGTTTCTGACAAATATGTGATGGCTCATAGCTCTGCAGTTTCTCTTGAAAATGTTCCTGTGTTAAAAGTGGGCTCGCATTATGATAATGGAGTCTCAAAGCCCATGATCATTGGGATGGGGGAGGAAGGGAATATGCCCAACGTTAGATGTTCAACACCTAGGGACTCAGCAAGCCATCAAATATACTCACCTGCAGTTAGAACACCAGTAGATTTTAGGAGTAATTCATTTGAGGGTAGAAATGATTTTCTGAATTCAGAGAAAAATCAAGTCTTTAATATGAATTTCAATTCACCTCCACTGAGATCCTCTAGTGGATCTGTTAGTAATTCTTTGGCATCTCCTAATAATCATTTTATGTCGCCAACTGCTTCAGCAATAAGTCAAATTGTCTGGTGCTGTGATGGAGATCCTGCAGCCATGGATATTGTCTCTGCTGCTAAGCTGCTATGGATAGGCTATATAAGTCCTGATGTGCCCGAAAGTCATATTAGGTTTCAGTTAGAAAGATTTGGTCCTATTGAGCAATTTATTTTCTTTCCTGTAAAAGGGTTTGCCTTGGTTGAGTACAGAAGGATTGTTGATGCGATAAAATCTCGACACTATTTACACGGATGTTTTCCTTGTCGTGTAAAGTTCATGGATATAGGACTTGGAACAAGGGGTGCAATGAATGGTGTTGCAATTGGTTCTAGTTCTCATATTTGTGTTGGAAATGTTCCCAGTCAATCAGCCAAGGAAGATATCCTCCATGAATCAAGTAAAGTGATCCACAAAGGTCCTCTTGGATATATATATCTTAGCTGTGAGTTTACATTACTTGTTGAATTTGAAACTCCTGAAGAAGCTACCACTGTCATGTTGCATCTGAGACATCTCCGAAGAGAAAGAAGCAACTATAACCAGCATTTTGGTCCAGGAACAGTTAATGTTGGAATTGGGCATGCTTATATGGATTGTGCAAGGCCTTTACCTGCTCCTCCACATATTGACCTTAAAGTCAACAACCCTGCTGGATCACCTCATGCTCGAACACTACCAGGGAGCCCTGCTGACAGCAGTCGAACAAGGATGTCTCACTTGTCCTCCTTACTTGCTTCATTGCGCGCAAAGTATAATATTAATCAGAACCTAGGTCTCAATGATAATTATATAACTGGAAATAATTGTCCTTCCATGCGTGAAGAAGATATTGTGCCATCCAGCACTCTCTGCATAACTATTCCGCATAGTAGCTCTTTCTTCCTCACAGATGATGAGTTAATGGCCGTTTGCAATCTTGCCATTGGAAATGCTGGATCCATTGTTCAGTTGACACAAGCAAGCATGCAGATGGGATGTAGTTGGTTTGTTGAATGTAGTAATATTGATGGTGCCGCTTTTGTTCTAAAGAATCTACGTGGTTGTCCAGGATTGTTCTTCCAGATAGAATTCAGGTATAGAAGATTAATTTTTATAATGTATACAGTATACACACAAAAAAGTATATTCAATGTTGAATTGCATGGCTTTTTTTCCCCATTTGGAAGCATATGCCTCAAACTCCAATAACTTCTCAGTTTCCGCTCTCCTAAGTCCAACATAAGGCACTAAAAACAATCTACATGTTGAATTGCATGGCGTTTTTTCCCCATTTGGAAGCTTATGCCTCAAACTCCAATATCTTCTCAGTTTCCACTCTCTCCTATGTCCAAACAGAAGGCACTAACAACAATCTACATGTTGAATTGCATGGCTTTTTTTTCTTCCCCATTTGGAAGCATATGCCTCAAACTCCAATATCTTCTCAGTTTTCACTCTCCCCTAAGTCCAAACAGAAAGCACTAAAAACAATCTACATGTTGAATTGCATGGCTTTTTTTCCCCATTTGGAAGCATATGCCTCAAACTCCAATATCTTCTCAGTTTCGACTCTCTCCTAAGTCCAAACAGAAGGCACTAAAAACAATCGGCATGTGAACACGAGATCGGAGGTCCTCTTTTTCTTTTAATTTTTTTTTTAAATGTATTTTCAGTTTGACATGTTTGCTAGATGATACGTAATGTATATATACTCTGAAACTAGTGAATTGATTATTTGTTTGTGTCATTCAACATAAGTGTAAAATATACTAAATATGATACAGTGCTGTTGCTAATTAGCAATTACTTAAAATCTCATTCTTCTATAAGAAAAAAAATAAATTCTAATAGTAGCATATTTAGATTGTTTTACTGTCCTTAATCTATTATGTGAATTTTACATGTGAAATTTCATAGAGTATAGATAAAGATTTATTTCTTGTTACAACTTAATTTTATGCAATATCTTAACAGTTGCCAAATGATAATACTAAAAAGTATTTATTTTACATGAATAATTTTTTCATTGATATAAAATTTGGTGAAACGATCCACACTGTTATCTTGAGCCCTTATCTAAAACCTTAAGCTTTTAGGAGAGGTTAAAGGTGGTCCTTGAGATGATATCACAGACTTTGTGATTAATTGGTTATGGGTTTGATCCTTAGTGCCTTCGGTTTGATCCTCGGCAGTGTCTATACATGTTATATTGAAACAAGCCCAAAGGACTCATGGGAATTTGTGTTTTGGAGTTATAAAAACTATCATGAGCCTTTGCTTAACAGTATAAGCTAATGGGTGAGTTGGTACTTGACAAGCACAACTTACTATTCAACTGTAAATTATCTAATATATGTTAGTGACTTAGTGTTAGGAGAGAGAAAACAAAGACATACAAGATCCTGAAATCATATGTTTAAATGGCACCACAAAGATATACTTATATAGCCTTATTTCATTTAATACACATGAGTAGGGGATATTTTGTTTCCCCAAAAAGTTGCTCTATAGCTGTATCAGTCAGAAAACCTGATTAAAAGCTGTTTTTTGTTTACCTACTGTCTTGTACTTCTAAGGTCAATGTAGAAAGTAGTTTGTACTTTTTGTCTTTCTCTCTTGATGTAAATTGTATCAAACTATTGTGTTGTATATATAATAAATATATATGATATGCTGGGTGCTTAAGACACTCGAGCTTTCCCACCAAAATACTTGAGAGTCAACTATATGCAGTCCAAAAGTGTTATTATGGGACAACCTATTAGGACTATGGGAAAGGGAAAGTTAGTTAAGACAGTTAGGATATTGATTAGTAAGTTAGGGAGTTAACGAGTTAAATAAATAGGAGGATGTAAAGGGAAAGGATTGATTGAATATTATTTGAGAATTGAGTTTTGCTCTGTGAAAGGAGAAATCCTTTGTGAAGAGGAAACCCTTGAAGGAGAGATTGTTCTCTTATTCTTTTCATCCTATACAATAAAATCTCTTTTATTTCCCATATCTAGTTCCTGGTTTGTAAAAATCACAAATGAGTGCGTGGGAGCACAGGATGCTGTTTGGTGCATGTCAAGCCAACAATTGCTGAGGCAAGTGGGTGTGCAGCTTGTTAGTGGTGATTGTTTCCTCATAGGTCGGGGATGGGGACACAACAGTGGTGTGTTTTTTTCTTTTTTCTTCCTGAAAATCATACCAAAAGTAGGAAACTGGTGTTGGCAGATGCAGTCCAACCTTTTCTGATTGTGGCAGTCAGTCTCTCACATAGCAGTATTGTTTGGGACACTGGGACAGATCAATCAAAATATGGAATCTGAAGGTAATCTCAAAATGCATGAGTTTGGGAGAATACAAAAGCTGAGACATTGATGGAGTGTGAAAACATTATCAAAATCAGGCTCTAAAACTGAACCATCATAGTAAACAAAGTGTGTACTCTTCTAGGGTGAGATTCTCCTACCAAAATATATCTCTAAAATACAAATCTGGTTATCATATAATAACCAAAAGAGTCTCAACTCTCAAGTTTAAATTAAACCAAACATATTTTTTTTATAGACCTAACATAACCAAATACCCTATAAAATCATTCATATTTTAAGCTAAAATAAGACCATAAAAAATAAAATAAATTCCCTAAACAAAAAATGACGAAAGATAATCCCAAATAAAAATTCCTAATTATGAAATTTAAAACTCTAAATGAATCATTGAAACTAATTTAATCTACATCAGTTCTCCAATGATGTAAGTTCATTTTATTTTACCCCATTGTCTATTGATCTTGAATTCTGTTGAAGTGTGGGTGGCTAAGGATTGTTGTTTCTTCCAAGTTCAACAGCTTTAGATTGTTTCATAGGCAAGTCCTCAGAATAATTTATTAGTGTTTACTGACCTGCAAGGTTATTGTTCTTCCTTTATGCAGCAAACCTGGACATCAGAATGCTGTACCATTGTCAATTAAACCAGAGAACAATTCTATGGAGCTTGTATCCCCCAGGATAAATGCTGAAAATCATACTAGTGGAATGCAATGTGCACCTCTGCCTCAATCAAACTGGCACTTTCCTAGTTCAAGGGAAATGCCAGAGGTTGGAGCTAGGAAACCTGATGGTTATGATAATTCGTCACAGGATCCTCACCAAGGAGGTAGTGTTCTATGAATTCCTCTTTGTTTATGCATGTCTGTGAGTAAAACTTTTTCATGGTTATGGAATTACTATAATTGAATAGCTATGTTAGATGCATATGGTGCTTTCTGGTGAACAATTGTGACTGTTTCTGAAACTGACTTTAATCTTATGCCAGGTAATGTTCCACATATGCACTCTGCAGCACATGGACCTTCCATTCCACCACCACAACAAATTCAGTCATCTCCTTTTGTTCGCCCTGTTTATGTTCCTCCAAATGGTCCATGGGATTGTCGGGGAATAAATAATCATTTACCTGTCAGCCAATTCAAGACGGGAGTAATGCCAAATAATTTTCATAGTAATGCTGTTGTAACTCCTTTTATTCCTGCTTCAGTAACTCCACTTGCTCAGATACAAGGAACTCCAATGCAGCCCTATAACCAGCAGGTGCCTCCATCAATTATACCACCACCTTTATCATCCTTGCCGCCTCAGCCAGAGATACCACCTCCAGTTCCTCCTTCTCCACCACCTTTACCCCAGGTTCAGCCACCCTTGGTTCCTCCACTGCCTAGTTCGCCTCCTCCTCCTCCTCCTCCACCACTGCCTGTCCAAGAATCAGTCAATGTTGAATGTTCAGGACAGTCTGTGCAGTATCAATGGCAGGGGAATCTCTGTAAAAGTGGGGTTAATTACTGTACAATTTATGCATGCAAAGCAGATTCAAATATCTGTCGATATTCAAATGCCATACCTGAGCCTACTGAGTAAGACATCAATTGTTGCTTCCTTATTGGTCAGACTAATATTTTCTTCAAATTAAGGCCTATTTAGATTGGTTTTCTCTGGTGCAGGTGGCCCACAAAATTAGACATGACAAAACGCACTGATCTTCGACATGTGAAATCAACATTTGCTGCTACTCCATCTCATAGAGTGAGTTTCCGTACATCCTTTGGCTGCTCTCCCTCTCCAACCATCTCACGCTCATTTTGTCAATAGATGTGTGTAATTTGTTAATTGACGCTTTATCCTAGGCTATTATATTAGATAAACATTCTTTGGTAATATGCATGGGTTGACATGGCTCAAGGATACTATAGCATGCACAAACATGATCAGCGTGCTTTGTTTCCTATATATGCTCCCATGTAATTTCTGATTTGCTTGTCAATCTTCTCTCCTTTGTTACATGTCTGGCTGCTTGTCTACAATCTTGTTGTGTAGTATTATTTTCATGACCATCCAGGACAGATTTGATTAGACTTGATTCTCTTGTAATTGCTTAATGAGGTTAGATGTAGTCTATATATATGATTTGTAATCACCTTATGTAAATAATTGAATTAGAAATAAAATTCAGTCACCTTTTTCAAGTTGGCAACAAAGCTCTCAATCCTGGGGTGTCTTTGCATCTGCTTCTAAACCCCTGTTGCCTTTGTTGCGGCAAGCCTTGGGTTGCCTTAACTGCACCCACTGTTCTGTTAGTGGCTTTATTAAACCGTAAATGCTATGCCCAAATTTGTGACACCGTTATTATTTAGATGTGTATGGACTTATATCTATTTGAAATATTTCTAGAGCAAAGTAGTTTGTTTCCTTTATTGATGATTGCACTCAGGTGTTTAGATAATGGAAAAGAGTGCATCAAAACGTTTTCCAAATTCCTCAAAGATAATGGTATTGTTCATGAGTCAAATTGTGTAGATACCCCTCAACACAATGGGGTTGCAAAAACAAAACAATGCCATCCCCTTGAAGTTTCCAAAACCCTACACTTACAAATGCTTGTTCCCGAGTCTTATGGGAGAAGTTGTATTAACTACCTCTTAATATGATAAATAGGCTACCCTTTTGTATTTGTTAGATATAGTTTTATCTTATGGGCCTAGGCCCACTACTTTTTATATAAACACATCTTTTTGCTTTGCAATACACAAGGAATATGTTCTCTTCATTTACCATTTCTCTCAACATGGTATCAGAGCCTATCCTTGACTTTCCGGTGGACTCATTGTTCATCGGTGCTCGAAAACGTGTCTCATTCCGTTTTCCGGCTACCCACCTTGTCGTGTCTCTTTCCGACAATTTTTTTTCCCTATTTTCAATTTTTTTTTTCTGCTGCTGCTGCCGTCCACCTCTGTCTGTTTTCTGGCAAGCAACCCACCACCGCGGTCGCCTTGCTCCGGCGAACCCAACGCCTTGCCCCTTCAACCATCCCTCTTGTTTTTGATACTCCTCCTGTGTCTACTGTGTCACCCGACCCACCACCTCCGCCTCCACTTCAAGTTTATCATTGTTGGCAACGCTCCAGCCTTTCCATTGGACCCCCAACCGACTCTACTTCGGTGCCACCACCTTCATCCCTTCTGGCCCAACCACTTGAGTCTGACCTCCATATTGCCCTCCGGAAAGGTAATCATTCTACTCATAATCCTTTCCCTCATTATATTACTTTGAGTTATCACTGGTTATCCCCTTCCCAATATACTTGTCTCTCTTCTCTTTCCTCTGTGTCTGTTCCTAAAAATGTAGGTGATACCTTGGCCCACCCTGGTTGGAGACAAGCCATGATTGATGAACTGTGTGCTCTTCAGAACAATGGTACTTGGGATCTTGTTTCAAGTCTGTGGTTGGATGTCGATGGATCTTTACAGTCAAGGTTGGTCTTGATGGAACCATTGATCGACTCAAAGCTCGTTTGGTCGCCAAAGGTTATACTCAAATTTTTGGATTAGACTATGACGACACTTTCTCCCCCGTTGCCAAGATGACCTCTGTCAGATTATTCTTAGCCTTGGCTGTTCTTCTTCGTTGGCCTCTCTATCAACTGGATGTTAAAAATGCCTTTCTTCATGGGGATTTGCTTGAGGAAATTTATATGGAGCAACCTCCTGGGTTTGTTGCTTAGGGGGAGTCTTTTGGTTTGGTATGTCGTCTCCGCAAATCACTTTATGGTCTTAAGCAGTCTCCAAGGGCATGCTTTGGTAGATTTAGTACCGTAGTCCAACAATTTGGTATGACTCGAAGTGAAACTGATCATTCGGTCTTTTATCGACATTCCACTGCTGGGTACATCTACTTGATAGTGTATGTTGATGATATTGTTCTTACTGGCAGTGATCATCATGGCATTTCTCAGATAAAACATCTTTGCCATCACTTTCAGATAAAAGACCTTGGTAAACTTAGAGGAAACTGGGCTAATGAGTTCCAAGCCTGTTGATACACCTATGGATCCCAATGCTAAACATCTACCAAGTCAGGGGAAGCCTTTCTCAGATCCTGAGAGGTACAGGAGATTGGTTGGGAAATTGAATTATCTCACGGTAACTCGTCCTGACATCTCTTTTGCGGTTAGTGTGGTGAGTCAATTTCTCAATTTTCCACGTGCAGGACATTGGAATGCAGTCATCCGCATTCTGAAGTATATCAAAGGTGCTCCAGGAAAAAGGTTTATTATATGCTACAACAATCATACCCAAGTTGTGGGGTACTCAGATGTAGATTGGGCAGGCTCTCCCTCTGACAGGAGATCCACCTCAGGTTATTGTGTCTTTATCGGTGATAACTTGATTTCCTGGAAAAGTAAGAAGTAGAATGTAGTGGCAAGGTCTAGTGCAGAAGCAGAATATCGTGCTATGGCCTCTGCTACGTGTGAGCTTATTTGGCTCAAACATTTGCTTAAAGAACTGAGATTTGGCGAAGTTACATAGATGACTCTCATATGTGATAACCAAGTTTCCCTTCATATTGCCTCAAATATAGTATTTCACGAGAGGACCAAACACATTGAAATAGATTTTCACTTCATTCGTGAAAAGATTTTATCTGGGGACATTATTACTCAGTTTGTTAACTCTACTAATCAGTTGGCAGATGTCTTCACCAAATCATTACGGGGTCCTAGGATTGATATATATTTGTAACAAGCTTGGTGCATATGATCTATATACACCAACTTGAGGGGGAGTGTTAGATATAGTTTTATCTTATGGGCCTAAGCCCACTACTTTGTATATAAACACAATTTTTTGCTTTGCAATACACAAGGAATATGTTCTCTCCATTTACCATTTCTCTCAACAGTATTATGAGGGGGGCTTAGTCCCATACGAATCATGGTGACTCTTTCCTTTATTTTACAATTTTCCATTATGAGTAGTTTCTAGAGTCTTGTCTTTGAATGTTATGTCTTTATCCATATTTATAATTCTCATCAGGGAAAGTTAGATCTTTGAGTTGTCTAATGTATTTCATAGGTTATGCACAAGACAAAACGACATATAAATGTTATTTTTGAATTTTAGTTGGGCCTATTCAATCCAAATAGTTACCTCATGAAATGAGAATTGTCCAAACCTTTAAGCTTTATTTTTTCCATATCTATAGATGATATGGATCAGAGCTCATCACGTCTAGCATTAGACATCTAGAGCATGGAGATTGTAGGACATATATATATATATAGAGGAATGTTATAATAATATTGGTGTAACTTTTACTAAGTATTACACTGCTTGATAACTTTATATTAAATGTGAATTTTGTAAATCCAACCGTTAGATTGAAAACTTTTTACTTTTAGATCATATATACAAAATTTTATATTAATCCAAGATGATTTGATACTTTATTCTTATAAAATAAAATTTACGTAATATATATATTTCAAAATATACTAAAATATGAACACTTTGATTACTTTTAAGTTGTTTAATTTTAACAAAATTTGATATAAACATATAAAGTGATATGAATTTTTAATCTAACGGTTGGATTTACAAAATTTACATTTAATATAAAGTTATTGAGTGTTGTAATACTTAATAAAAGTTACATCGGTGTTATTATAATCATCCTTATATATATATATATGACGTAGAAGGAAAGTCACGTGCCTAGAGAGACTGCAAATTCAATGACAAAAGTCATGGAACATAAATGGGGGAGGGAGTCAGAGAGGATGAAGTAAAGAAAAAGATGGAATTAATAGTAGAAAAACAGAACACTAAGAAAGAATGAATGAACTCATGAGATTAGAATCTGTGAGTTATGACGTACACAACACAGTAAAAAAACATGAACAGAGACTTGCATGAATCAGACCTGTGACAAAGGAAGGGGTTAAGAGTTCTGTTGGAACCAAATCAACAGGGAACATACATTAGTTGCCAGAGGGCGAATGGTGACCAGTGGTTTGCTAGGAGACGCTGGGTTTGTCTGGAAAAAATTTAGCAAATGTTTGTACAAGTGGACTTGTCAGAAAATCACCGGGGTACATAATCACCCTGAAAACAGTGTGCTGCTGGAAGTTAGGAGGTTTATTTAGCCCTGTAGTTGAAGGGACAACATCAAGAGGGCAAAGTGGGGTTTTTATACCCTGGATCGGTGTAACAACCCAAATGATTGTCTTTCTTTTTACTCTTGACTGGCCATGAAATGTAAGAGTTGTCTACTATGTTTCATCGGTAGGGAAACTAGTATTGGGTACAATATGATGATACTTAAATATGACATTTTTTTAAATCATGATACAAATATAATTATATTCATATATTTATATTTATTTTGTTTTACTTCATTATATTTCTTATTATAGTTGATACTTAAATATGACATTTTTTTTAAAAATCATTATACAGATACATTATATATGTTTGTATTTAATTTTTTCTATTTCTTTATTTTTTTTATTATAGTTTATATTTATATTGATTTTCCGTCATGGTATTATTGCTGGATTTTTACCTCTTGCAAAATTTATTGAAAATCATTGCCGAAATTAAATAAACTTGTTATTTCATGTTATGGTAATGATTCATTTATTACTTAAAGAAAAACATAAATAATAGGTTTGTAGGCAAGGCAACATAGTTCTGAATTATGATAGACTGTTGTATTATATGCATATCAATATTCAATATAATTTAAAATATCGAAGATGTCTGCATTGTCCGTTTCCCCTGAATCTGATTTTATGGTATTGATTTCTGTTGTAGAGGGAAGTGTGCCGTTTAATCCCATCATCCACAAGTGACCACAGAAGGGTATGTTTCCTTATCCTCATTTATTTCTGATTTCAATTTGTCCCTCTCAGAACTGGTCACTGAATCTTATGGTGGATTTAGTTTGCCTCTATGTTGTTACCAAGACTTCCATGATGGAGTAACTAAATTATCTCGCAAGTTCTAGTGTATTATGTTTCGATTCCTTTAACAAATGTTAGCGTAAGTTTCTGATGAAGACTACTGGGAAAGGAATTAGGGACCAACTTTTACCCCCTGCTGAGATGTACTTTACATAATCTTAATTTGGTATTAAATAGAATCTATAACTTAATTTGATGCTCTATTTTTTTTTAACCATTGACATATTGATCATTCTGATGCGTATTATGTAAATTTGGACGTGTACTATGAGTGAGAATTGGAATGTGTTTTGTCCACTAACAGTAACACACACTCTTTCGTCTTGTTGACTTACCCTATGTATGTC